ATTTTCATCATCGATGGGATTTGAACACCCAACCTACCACTTGGGGGGTTGACAACCTGACCACTTCACTAGGTCGCCACATCCTGTTTTAAATTTAAATAACCAAGAAATTTACAAAACTATCTATACTTTAGGTTACAAGAAAAAATTAAAATAAAATATAAATTTTAAATTATAGAAATTTATTAATAATTTGAAAACAATTTTAAAACTATCAATTCTCTTTAACAATTACTTGTACCAAATTTTACAGTAACAAAAACAGAAAACTTATTTAAGAGACTACTATATAAATAACAGTTTTTATAAAGATCAAAGTGGTTTTATTACACTGAACTTTTTTATATATTTAGTAAACAAACTAAAAGTACACATATACAAGATAACTAGCAGGAGGTGTCTTTGTATAACAAATTTTAGTAGAAGTTTTGATTTCTGTTAATGAAATTAAAATAGTAAACCTTATAGGAGAACAATAAGCAAGTTTTTAATACATTCATTAGAAATTTAAGAATATCTACTAACCGAACACTACTACCATATTTCTCGCTTGGTTTTTGATAGAAGTTTTTACAAAAAGTGGGAATTTAACATACCCTCTATGAAAGATCTACAAAAATTGTCTATTTTAGGAATAGGATAATTATCTCTTTTCTGGAATTAGGAATAACTCTGATTGAAGTAAAAGAGTCAACTGTAGAACTGATAAGGAAGAAATTAAATACTGACATTTTTATCATTGAACAATATTTACATATAGTATAGATCTATTTTTAGAATAGAAACTAAAAGTAGTAGTACTATATAATTTTTATAATTTGCTCTGACTGGGGTTTTAATCCTCTTTTTGTTTTTTCTTTTTCCTACTATTATGTGTTTGTTTTGCTGTTTTGTTTTAATTTGGTTTTTGTTTGTTTATTTTTAATTTTTTTAGTCATGTTTTTATTTGTATTCAATTTTATAATACTCTTCTTTTTTCAGCCTTTTGAGAAAAAGAAAGAATTTAAAAAAAGGATTGAAGACAGTTAATGCTTGTTTTGGAAGAAAAAAATTCTTTTTAGTATGACTTTAAGTAACCAAATAAGCAGTCTACCTTTGATTGGAGTAGTGCAACAGATCATACTTAGGTACCAATAGGGTGACCAGGTGATACTGAACTTAGTTATTGGGAAAATTCTATGTAATTATTGTATATAGTTTCAAGAATCTTAATAAAGTACTAACATGAATGCTTAAGAGCAAAAAAAAAAAAAAAAAAATTTGAAAAAAAAAATATTTAAAATTTTTTCTTTTTTTAATTTTAACTAGTAGTATAAATGATCTGTCATACATATAATTGGGGTCAAATTTTATGCCGCCGTGATAGGGTAAGACAGATAATTAACTAACCTGTCACGGATTTCAGAAATGCTATAAGTTTTTATATATAATCCAATCTATTATTTGATTTACCGATTTGATGAACACCCTAGTGTTACGTTACACCTGATCTCGAAATATAATGGTCTGCACTACAAAAATATCACGTGTCCGCTTAGACGACCTCCAAATGTGGAAGTTCCATTGGCGTGGTTTAACTTAATTGAGTTTGGGATTATGGACGGAAAGTATGATCTAATATTTTAACTCTACACTAATTATCAGAAGTACAATATATATGTAAATACGTAATGTTTTTTAATGCTTAGTTCCACATTAATAGATTAAATCAACTAATCAAATTTAGAGCACATAAATATCGTGCAATTCGATCCTACTACTGCATAAAAGTCCACTTCAAAATATATACTATACTATTATGTAAATTGATGGCGTGTACTAAATTACCGAATAAATTTAAATATCATCAAATGATGAATAAATAACTGCACAAAGAGCTTGTAATTCCTTACAGTCCTTGATAACCTACTCAGTGAAACAAACGTTTATAGGTATTAATATTCAACTAAATTTGTAATAAAATATTGTTAGAAAACTCACATCTAGAAATTTGTTCTGAACATTGCTAAGTATGATATGTGCTTCTCTAGCTAAGTCTGGTAATAGTTTTACGAGTGTAACATTCTTCTCAATCTGTTCACCATCCTGACAAACGAAATGTGTATGTAAATCTTGTTGCATCAAAGAGAATGCCGAGGACACACAACCAGATAAGACAGCAGTGAAATCCTGACTTTCAGATAAGAATTAAGAATGGATTAAATAAGTAAATATTAAAATTTGCCAAAAATAAATGACTAGTAAATACCCATGCAAGAAATCTTTTGTCTCATCCAACAATTTTCTAAGCTTTGAATCGATATGGATATCTAATTCCCCACCACCACCTTGGTCAAGAACTCGCAGTTCATCAGCTTGGCTTTCAGGTATCAACACGTTAAGAAATCTGACAAAACATAAAATGGTATAAACAATCTTGCTCCAAATAAATGAATACAAAAAGCTAATTAACAGTACTCATAAGGTTGGCCATCCTCAGTTCTTTCAACCCGGGAACGTATTTCAGATAATAACCACACAAAATCTTTATATGAAAGATCTTGTTTTAATGATACACTAGATGAAAAATAAAAACGAATTACTTATTATTAGTTTCAAATTTCACGAGTATGACAATGAAATATATTACGTTGATAGCTGAGTTTCCACAGCAATTCTAACTCGTTCTATAATTTCATTGTACCCAACATTCAAGAACCACCAACTGAACGTTAAATATTTCTTCTCTATATTTGAATTTAATATAGATCCTGTAGGTGGGTTAATTTGGATCACTTGTTCTCTGTCACGTTCGGTGAGAGAAGCGATAGAATAAAGGTAATTATATCTCCCCAAAATGTTTAATTGAACAGTAATGATCAGAGTAAGAAATGTTTCAAGATATATTGCTGCTATAGAACGAACAAAAGCTAACAATAACGAATTAGTAACCATGAATAAGATGAATGATATTGAAACACGGGAAATCATAAAAGAATACTCGACTCACTTTTATATTTGACTTCATTCCATAGTTCCAACCTAGTTTTCTTATCTGTGAAGGATTGGCTCGCATTCACATGACTAGGATCATTATCTTGTCCACTATTTGTACTTGATCCGCTGTCACTTCGTCGACTTTCAGACCGTTCAGTGTTATTCCCATTATTTATATCAGAAAAAGTTTCTATAACCTTTCCATTGCCGGTTTCAACGGGTTTATCTACAATTATCATAGATGAAGAAGGTGTTGTATTTGGTTCATTCACTAAGACAACAGAAGCACCGGGTGAATCATTTGGAGTTGTGGTAGTGGAATGTTGAGCACTCTTTGCTTTTTGTAGATGAGTTATAATTGATTCAACATCGAATCTATTCAACAAGATTTCAGCTATTGACGGAAGATGAGATGCGACTGCAAACGCACAATCGTTTTGACGTTGTTGGAATCGACGGCGTATACTTTGCAATTTTATTGAAATAAGCAAACGGTGAGAGTTTACAAAAAAAAAGAAAACACCAAATTATGTGGATTGCTAACATTGTGATAATCATTCAAAACATCGGTTATTCACCGGATAAAATTCATTGCATAATTCTTACTTGTCTCTTGCAATCCTTTCTTGCTCAGCTTTTTCTTGAAATTCAATAATTTTCCACTTGGCATACTTCCCTAGAAAATAAATACCACCACTAACTCCCAAAGTAATCAAAATACCACGTTTATGTTTTTTGATATATTTAACAGTTGTGGATATCATTCTGAAAATTGACAATTTATTTTGCAGCGATAAAAAAACGATATATTATAGGAATCTACCAATCACGATGTCAGATCAAGATTTTCATCTAAATCCGCTACTCAGTAAAAAATGAAAAATACGAATAACACAGTACGTTTAGATTAATATTTCTATATATTTTGAAGAACGTTCTCAATTCAGTCAAAACACTTTTCATCTGCTCCGTGTTAAAAGGGAAATTTTACTCAACGTTTCTTAAATTCCGCATACTCCTTTCCTACAATGCATGGTTTCTCTTTAAACAAATTAACAATGATCACAAGTTTAACAATTAAGATCGCCTAACGATCGAATCAAATACGTTCCTTTGAATTCAATAGTTACTTATTTACATTTGTGCTTGGTTCCGTGTAATGGTTTGCACACGAAGACGAGGCGTCCGATACCCATCTCACATTATAAACATCCTTATTTTGTATTCTAATTGAAATACGTAGCAATTTGTAAAGATTCTTTGCAAACTGTGATTTATATAAACTATTTATTATTATTACCGTTATACTTATACATATTACAGTATTACCTCGAATATAACTAAGCAAAACCTCTAACTCCAGAGCTTCGTTTTGTCGAAGTTATCCCTTAAACTGTTTTCCAGGCAAATTTAAATTTAATATTTTTTAAAGGGAAATTCTATTTTGACATTCGGATTTATTTTTATATCCGGATTTAATTAATAATTAAAAATATAATCCGGTTTAATCCGAATATAATTAAATCCGGATATATAATTAAATCCGGATATAATAAATCCGGATTTATGGTTATATCCGGATTTATGATTATATCTGGATTTAATTATATCCGAATTGTCAATTTGCGCACCACATAGTTCCAAAATAATTTAATTTATAACAGAGACAGGCACTTGGAAAATGTGTACTGGGTTTGTCCTGAACTACGAATCAGATTTCAAGATTCGTTGTAACGTAACACGATCAAGAAGGTTCGTTCGAAAAAATCGCCCATAACTCAAAAATCAGCATAAGCAACGATCTAATAAAAAGTTTTCGTTGAATAATTTTACTACTACACCTGTTTTTCCTCTAATCCCTAATCTTGGCCCTAACCCTAACCTTAACTAATTTTAAGAAATTAGCCTGCGCCACAAACCCAGTACACATTTTCTGAGTACCAGAGACAGTGCCCGATCCAAAGTGAATCCCTCTCGCCTGTGATCAATCACAAATTAAATTATTTATGTTGGATTCAATTGTGATGGATATAATCCCTCACCAGTTTTAATTTATGTGTAACATTAACGGTCTCTGCTGTAGATTTAATTCCATTGATAAAATTTAAAATTGGTTAAAATGTGTTAAAAACCAGAATGAACTAAATAAAGTATCGAAATCTGCTAACACCTAAGTGTTTTTTCGAATTGATTGGCATTTTAAATTTTTTTCAATAATTTACAAGCGAATGTGCTTTGAAAGTAGCATTGTCTTATAATATTTATGAATATCACCTGATCTTAAATTACATTATTACAGTATATTATGCCGAAATAATAACTTAACTGGATTAGCCAAAAATCATTCGAATAATTTCTCAAGAATTGTAAAAATAATGTTTGATTTCTTAATAAATATTGAGCATTCTTTGCAACTTGCAATTTGGATAATTAGAAAACTATTCTAATTATTCTGTAATATTAAATCATTTTTATTAAATTCACATTTTAAAAAAAAATACATTTTTAAAATGAATTTTCAATACATATATAATAATGAAATTTAATGTTTAAATTTCATATTTTAGTGTTATAATTTAAAATGTATATTAATATATGTATGTTTTAAAATTTTAATATAAATAAAAAGAATAAATAGACAAACCAAACAAACTAGTAAATTCTATTAAATAGTTCATCATGACTAACTATCTATAAATGTTTAATATATCATAATAATAACTAAGATTCCAAAGCATAAATAAATTTTAAAACTATAATTATATTCACAATTCAATTTAAATATTGATTCTGTGCATATTATATTAACTTAACTAAGTCAAAAGGGTATAATAGTTTTAATATATTACAAACTAATACAAAACTCTATATGCAAACAGAAATATACTTACTAATATATAGCATTAATACTTAGGCTCTTAATAAATATAATATATATCATAATTTTTTTTTTGAATGCAATTTTTAAATAAGCTTGGACCCTAAACTAAAACAAAAGTTTAATAATATCTAAAATTTTCAGTAGCTATACTTTAAACAAATATTACCTATGCCTTTTGAAGTTAAAACATTAATCATACTTTAATTCTTATTTTTTATTAATAAATTTTAAATTACTAGAATAAAATAATTTAAATATAAAGATAGTGATCCTAGTGTAGTAGTTGGGTTGTCATTCTCTAAATGGCAGGTCTAAGGTTCAAATCCTATCTATAATAAAATTTGGAAATTATATCTGCATTATGGTAACTGTTTTCTGTCAATCAGTTGGCCTCATGTGACTGTAACTTAGATATACCAAGTTGGGTCTTACTGACATTGAGAGCTTGAAACATCTATGCAAAGTATAACATTACACATATATAGAGAAATATATAAGCAGTATTGCATAAGACTTCAGTACAATCCTATAATAAGACTATCGAACATAGAAGACTAAGGAACTAAGGTGATAAAAACACACTTAGAAATTCCCGAATAAAGAAGTAACATAAATTTTTGATAGTACTATTAGACCAATTAAAGTCTACAAAACACTTTTATAGAAACTGAAGATTAAAACTAGATGTTAAATATATGTAGAGGAGCATATAACTAACTAGGCTGTTAGATTTGTCAGAGAAAAAGGATATAAAAGTATACTATACCAGGTCATCTGAATTGGTAGTTTGAAATAAGACTAATGATTCTAAGTTATAGTTAGTAGGGAATAATAAAAAAGATACTAGAAAGATAGATACTGAGGTTTTAGTGAATTTTACAAAGATAGAAATAGTGTAATATAGTGGTTAAACAGATAATCTTTATAATTACAAATATTAGATAACTATAGTATATTTTATAAAACTAGATTTATATATGTAAAACATAAAGGCTCTAGTAAGTTTTTTGTCAAGAATAAATTAGTCTTAAGGGTAATGACTAGCATTAGAAACTTAGATAAATATAGCTATAAGATGTTCTCATAATACAAGAAGGATTACATATATAGAGAGTTTAAATAGACAAGACTTCTAGTTGGCTTACAGATATAGCAACTAGTATAAAACTTATATAGCAATGTGTAAGCAGACTACTTAAATTAGGTACCAAAAGTATACATGTAACCTTCAATGTAAGGTGAGCCTCTAATGGTATGTCATGTTCTAATATACTTAAATAAAAACATCATATTTCCAAGATAAGAACTTTAATTATAAAAAAAAAAAATAATAATAATAATAATAATTTAAATGTAATTAGATAAGAATATTTAATAATATATTTGCATTAATAGGTTTTAAAATTAACAAATAAGTACAAATTTCGAAATAAGTAGGAGTTTTGGAATAAGCTTTTACTATTGTTACAAAGTAGTTTTTAGCATAGTATATTATACAGTACTATTAGTAATTATATATATTCATTATTATATTTTATATTATATTTATTATTAGTCATTAGTTAGTTGATAGTTATATTATATAGTAGATAGATAAAAGAATTTTAATTGGCTATTAGAAATGTAGTACAGCCATATGACACTGAGTAACATCTGTAATGTTACTATCATCTTACAAACCCCAAGTACCTCTATACAAGTTTTATGTATTTTAGTATCAAATTACTGTGCCAAGTACTGCAATACAAGAATTCCAAATATCCTCAATATAAATTCCAAGTGTTCCTGCATGAACCTCAAGTATCCCTGCACAAATTCCAAATATCTTTGTACAGATTCAAGTGTCTAAACACAAGCTCCAAATGTTTTAAGCATAAATGACAAATAATATAAACAATATCTCTAGTTGTCTTTACACAATCCCTACTATTCCAAGCACAATATCATTTAATGTTGTTCAAACCTTTACTATTCCAAGTACAATAATATCTAATGTTGTTTGAACCTCCATTATCCTGAGTACAGTATCAAGTAATGTTGCTTGAATTCCCACTATTCTCACTAGATAAAAAGATATATAAATAGTAGCTTTTACCCTTTTCTGCCAATTCTAAGTTTCTATACTTCAACCTAGATCCTTCTACTTTTACCCCTAACTTGTAAAAATAATATTTCCTCTCTAAGGTAATTTTTACAGTTAAGGTTGTTACTGTGTGTTTATTTAATAAAAGTTAATCTATATATTGTTACTATCTTGAACTGTTTGCCTTTTGGCTGCTGCTGTGTAATAAAGTAAACTACTACACCTCCATTCCATATATATTTGTAATAGTCAATCACTGTATCAGATGACTTTGTTACTTGATTGTATTGTACCAAGAAGGCTACAATTCTGTAATATTTTGGTGTCTTCTGGCAGAAATATAAAAATTTATTTCAAGAAAAAAACAGAAATCTCTCTCAAGAAAACTATCCCAGAAAGCAATTCTTATTCTAAGAAGGATTTTATTTTAAAAGCAGTAATTGTGAAAAAGCATTTTGAAATTTTGAAATTATTATTTTAGATATACCTTTATTAACTCAAATTGAATTAAATTATTTTGTATTTTGCATTTGTATTTTGTATTTTGAAATTGAAAAAGTTTATGCTTTTACCTTCTATCTTTGAATTTTTGATTTTGAAACAATCTTGATTTTGATTTTTGATTTTGATTTTTAATTTTACATTATTTACTTGCTGATGAATATAAACTGAATTGTTTAAACTTTGATTAATTACTTGAATTCTTTACTTGCTAGCACTATTATTTTAGATTTATTTTCTTGATTTTTATTATTTTATTTAATTATTTTATTACTTATTAGTACTAACCTTTCTCAAAA